AGTTCGAGTTCTTTGAAAAATAATTTTAACTTTCTGTTAGCGATATCAATTTCTGCGTTAGTTGTTTCGAGAAAATCAATACCTACTAGTCCATCAAATTGAAAGTCAAAATCTATTAAATAGTACCTCAAAGTTTTTGTCGGTGCGACAACTATGTCTATACTTTTTGTAATTTTTTCTTCACTTGACGTACCGTTTATGCCGTAAATTGAAAAATTTTCGTCATTTTGTCGAATGTAAGATTTTTGTTCTGCAACGTTTGTTTTCATGAGTGAAATTGGTGCGCCTGTATCTACTAAAAATTTGAATCCTTGTTTGTCTTGGATGTAGAACAGTTTTTTATTGAGATTATTTAATACTGAGAGTTGAATTCGTTCATCTGCTCGAATTCTTCTATCTGAGTTTCGGGCTGAACATTCTGAATCTGAGGAGTGCAAATTCCCGAATAGTTTGTCTCCTCCTGGTAGTTTAAATGATTGACACGATTTTGAGGGTTACTTTGAATTCTTTGAATCACTGAGGGTCTTTGATCTGGTTGTCTAGGAATAGGTTGTGTTCCAGAGGTTCCAGGATTTTGAAAATTTGAAACTCTGTTCTGAAAATTTCTGTTTTGAAAATCATTTCGATTTTGGTTTGCATTTTGATTCGGCTGTGAATTGTTTTGTCCATTGTTTCTTTGACGTTTGAAACAATCACTTATTGTATGTCCTGTGCTTTTACAATAACTGCAATATTTTTGATTTTGTTGTTGTCTCGGATTTGAATGATTTCCGTAGTTTTCTTTTGGAAAAGTACGATTGAATGGTTGATGACGTGTATCAACTTTTGGATTTGATTTGGAAATTCTGAAGTTTTTCAAATACGCGATGTTTTCTTCTTCTATCAAAAATTGTTCTGCCTCATCAAGAGATCGTGGTCTCTGTGAGCGAATTATTGAACCGAAGGGCTCATTTAAACCTGCGAGTACCGTTTTCAAAGAAATTTTTTCGTGTGATTGATTTAATGCTGCTTTTTCTTGTGCATTGAGATTGTTATCAAGAGCAACACTTGTTCTTAGTTTTGTTAAGAGATCTTCAATTCTTTGAACAAAAACTCGTGGTGTTTCATTTGATTTTTGGAAAGATGAAGTGAGGTCTCGTAGCAATCCTTCTGTGTCACGACAATCACCATAATGACCTATTAAGAGTACACGAATATCATCCCATGTTTGGAGTTGTCTACTAGAAATGAACCTTTTCGCTTTGCCTGTCAGTTTACTTTTTATTATGAAAATGAGAGCATCTTCTTGATTTTCATCGACTTGGTTTGTTACAAAATTACAAGCTTCTATGAAGTCATGAAGAGTTGCTTGATCTCCGTCATATTCTGGAATCATGTCACGAAGTTCTTTCAATGAAAAACCTGCTTCTGCCATTTTTTGTCAGAGTAGTTTCTTGTTTGTGTTCGTTTTGCAAGGGAAGAGTGGATTGATTTTTTTGGAATCAATAGGAAAATTGCAGGAAAGGTTGCTTTACGCTGCAATAGTCATGAAAATAGAAACAATAACTTACAGAGCTACGATGAGGAGCTGGAGCTGCATCAAGGCTTGCTTCTGGAGTATGTTCTTGGAACGAAGACGATTCTGGGTCAGGAAAGGGGCCGCTGAGTTCCAGAGGACGACTCGTTGTTGGACTCTCAAGTAATCTTCGCCAGGAAAGGTGCCGCTGGAGAGAGATCTGCTTGGAGGGTTGTTTTGTGTTGTTGAATCCACTTGCAATTGGAAAACTGCACTTGCGATTAGTCCAGGAAAGGTGAAACTGGTCACGATCGAAATACAGTTTTTTGTCTCACTATTTAGTCAGGAAAGTCTTTTTCCGGTTTCGCACTAAATTCGCGGACTGTTTTGTTGAACGAACGGTTTTTTGACCTTTTCGTAGATCCTACCGACTGCGCCAATTTTTATAACTTGGGAGATACTCGTTGGTTTTTAAAAAATACACTTTATTTCGAGCTGAAATGTATCTTTGATCGAGACTTTGATTTTGAGTGATGTTACTTAATTTTGATGTGTTCGAATTGAAAGCTCATTCTAGTCTGTTGATTCCCAGTCGTGAATATGCATTCAAGACTGTTATCTTCAGAAAATGCTGAAAATGCACCTCGCGACTTCTCTAGAATCGCGTGGGCAGATTAATCTCATATGATTATATCAAGAAGTGAATTATTTTATAAGTTCAAATGGAATGTCAGGATATAACATATCTTTTTGTCTGGTTATGTGTTCGTGTTTATGACTATTGACTTCAAAATTCAGATTTGAATGTTTATAATTATATATTTGACGGAATAGATGAATTGTAAATGGATTTAATATCTAACAATTGCCAAGTAATCTAAACTGGTCAACATTGATAACGTCGTGCTTCAAAATATAGCCTGAATTCAAAGTAGAATAACTCACGAATTTCCTCACCAATTTGAAATCGGTTTTCACCGATGATTAGCCTAATCTCTTGACAGTTTGTTGTGACAATATGAAACTTCTGTAATTTCAGATAACATTGCTACAGGGTGATGATTGAATGGGTGTAAAATTGCATCGTGGTCGTCACCTTACCGTTTGAGCAGTTATTTTTTTTAATTTTTTTTCACCTGTATCCTCTTGATTGATACTTTGTCTCGAAACGTTTTCGGAATTTTCAAATTCAGAGCTTTGATAATCGTGTTATGAATATTCATTCGGAATGATGCATTTTTTCGACAATTGATTGAATGAAATTGAAAGTTGAAATTCTTCTCCGAAGAATCAACGTTGTATGTATAGTCGTCGGATATGTGATCGTGTTCGAAAACAGAAAATTCTGAAAACGTCTAAACAAAGTGGTACAAGAAATACTGAATGATGGAATAGAGAATAACGTAGTCTTCAGTAGATGAAACATAATTTTCTCTGTGTTACTAGTGGAATGATGGAGTGTTACTTCGTCATGAGGATGTCTGGTGTCTGACCTCAAAATGGTTTTGTAATTTCTTGGATCGAAGGTCATATAATGAAAGTACGCATTTTCGTTAAGATAAATTATAAAATTCAAAAAATCACGATTGTAGTTCCAGAAGTATGAAATTCATATTTATTCTTGACGATGGATACAAGGTCCGATAAAAAATAAGTCCAGATTGTCCTGGGATGAAGAAGAATATGTTTGAACGTGATGAAAATCGCTATGTTCCGAAAAAGGAATATAATGTCGGTCATTGTCGAAAATTGTGAAATGAATAAATATAGTAACTTTTCATGAGGGATATACAAGGGAATATGAAAGAAACTGCAGAAATGCCACAGATTTGATTAAATGTTTTCATACTGATGAAGATGAATACAGTAAGCCCTCATGAGGCTTATCCTAGGTAATATGAAAGAGACTTCAAAATTGCCATATATTCGTGCATACTTGTTACCATTGCATCTTATACTGATCTAGCACCTACAATATGGTATTCAGAAGGACAATTTCGTCATAGTCACTCAGTGTGAAGTTGAATGGAGATAGAATAACTCGTGAATGCTCATTTCTGCATCATCTTTTTCACAGGGTGATCCATAAGGAATTTATAATATCTCACCTGATGCTATATATAGATTTGACGAATTCTATTGAAAAAAATATAGATTTCCTGACTTATACTCACAATTATTGCTATTATGTTTTCTCACGTCAAAAAAAATACTAATTGCATATTGGATTGACGTTCATTCCAATATGTGAAGTCTCGTTCATATTACCTCGTATAAGCCTCATGAGGACTTACTGAATTCATCTTCATTAGTATGAAAAACATTATATCGAATATATGGCAATTCTGCAGTTTCTTTCATATTTCCTCTTATAAACTTCATGAAAAGTTACTGTATTTATACATTTCACAAATTTCGACAATGACCGACACTATATTTCTTTTTCGGAACATAGCGATTTTCATCACGTTTAAACATATCATTCTTCATCCCGGGACAATCTGGACATATTTTTTATCGCACCTTGTATATCCATCGTCAAGAATGAATATGAATTTTATACTGCTGGAACTACAATCGTGATTTTTTGAATTTTATAACATCATTTCGATTAAAAATGCGTACTTTCATTATATGACCTTCGATCCAAGAAATTACAAAACCATTTTGAGGTCAGACACCAGACATCCTCATGAAGAAGTAACACTCCTTTATTCCACTAGTAACACAGAGAAAATTATGTTTCATCTACTGAAGACTACGTTATTCTCCATTCCATCATTCAGTATTTCTTGTACCGCTTTGTATAGACGTTTTCAGAATTTTCTGTTTTCGAACACGATCACATATCCGATGACTATACATACAACGTTGATTCTTCGGAGAAGAATTTCAACTTTCAATTTCATTCAATTAATTGTCGAAAAAATGCATCATTCCGAATGAATATTCATAACACGATTATCAAAGCTCTGAATTTGAAAATTCCGAAAATGTTTCGAGACAAAGCATCAATCAAGAGGTTACAGGTGAAAAAAGAAATAAAAAAAATTATCTGTTCAAACGGTAATGTGACGACCACGATGCAATTTTACACCCATTCAATTATCACCCTGTAGCAATGTTATATGAGATTACAGAAGTTTCATATTGCCACAACAAACTGTCAAGAGATTAGGCTAATCATCGGTGAAAACCGATTTTAAATTGGTGTAGAAATTCGTGAGTTATTCTACTTTGAATTCAGGCTATATTTTGGAGCACGACGTTATCAATGTTGACCAGTTTAGTTTGCATACACATTCAATACTTCTGGGATACCCTGTATAGAATGCAAATGTTCGGAAACGAATTAGCTCATCATCATATTGAATCTCGGCCATAACGAGGTGATGATCGAGTATTTTCCACCGTTGAAATTCGGCATTGAGTGTTTTGTATAAATTATAATGTCTATCAAGAAACTTCTATTTTTCTATTTTTATTTCTACTTTCTATTTTTCAGATTGCTTGATCCACTTTGTGAATGAGACTCCAGCCACTTAATACGAGCAGAGTTTATAAATTTGTATACATAAATAAATATGACGCCTACACGATGATCAATAGTATAATATTGTTCTTTTATCTGTAAGGAACTCATAATAGCAATAATAATAACGTCCGGTCGGAAACTTGAATTCAATTAAAAAAATCAGGTTTAACTAGTATATCTGCAATGTATTCAGCGACAATTACTGTGATATTGATAGTTATGTGCAGTGTGATCAATTGTCTAGGCGAAGTAGTTTTAATTTACGCCAAAGGAAATATAGAGACGTGTGGAGAGAGTCGATCTTGCATCAAGAAATGCTGCCCCGAAAAACACGTTTTGAAAAACAAAGTGTGTACATTCTCAGACGATGAGTTCGAACTCAAAGTGTTCAGTGGCATCCAAGAAATCAGCAATTCTACTGATGAATCCACTTTCGAAGTTTTCATCGAGTTCTCGAGTAACTCTACTTACACGAACTGTGATGGGGGGAAGGTTTTGAAATTGTCCCCTAAATTTGCGGAAGAGGATCATTTCTATCTACAAGAAAACGGATCGCTTCTGAAGCCCAACGATGAAGTGTTGCCAATGGTTCTGCCTCAGTTCTACTGCTTGGAAACTTTCGTTACGCCACTCGGATCAGAATTGTCTGCTTTGGTGTGCTATATGCCTGACAATCTCGAAGTTGTGCCTGATACACATTTCTTAATCGGTGAGTACCCACTCTATTTCATTTTGATTACAATCATGTTCAGTGTGTCCAGTTTTCGATGCTTTTGCGTAATATCTCAGTTATCTTTGGAGATGGAACCTTGCGGTTTTCGCGGTCCTATGCCACTTTTTTGTGAAAATTTTTTTCGGGGTAAGTATAGTTTTGCAGATACCATTCAAACTTATGATTTTTCAAATGGATCGCCCTGTATTTCGTAAGCTCATTGAATTCCTTATTCTTTTTCCTTCAAAATGATATACAGGGTGGTCCGGTTTGTGATAAGAAAAATTCCACAGGGTGTTGTACTCGTTGAAATAATAATAAAAGTTCATATAAACATATACTTTTGAACGCGTCGTTTTCGAGATATAGGGTGTTGAAAATACGAGTCTGAATATTGTTTTCTGATAATAAATTTTTTACGCAGTGAACATAGCACTCTTGTTTTAATTACAGTCAAATATTGTTATTGAACGATATTTCTGAACCGATTCAACTCGAAAACGGCGAAACGCGTCAAAAACCCACAAGTGAGCTTTTTCCGCATTGCTCTGAGACCTATTTATTTCCAGATATTGATATACAAATTGAGAATGGAGTGCACATATAAAAATTGGCGTGATTTTTTTCTTCACCACCCCCAGATTCAGCCACCACTAATTACTTTATGAAATAATCTTCATTTCATCTCATAGAGCGTAAAAAGTTCATTATCTCTGAGAAATCTTGTCTCAAACCGTTTCGAAATTTTCATCAAAAAACAATATTCATACTCGTATTTTCAACACCCTATATCTCGAAAACGGAGCGTTTAAAAGTATATGTTTATATGAACTTTTTTTATTATTTCAACGAGTACAACACCCTGTTGAATTTTTCGTACTACAAACCGGACCACCCTGTATACAGTGTGTCCATTTAGTGCGTAATTCTTCGATATCTCAGAATCTATCATCACAAGAGATAAACCAAAGGATAAACTTCCGAAAACTTATTCCTTCCGTTATCAAAGGTTTCTATTTCACAATTTCAACAATTCTGGGTGTTTTATAAAAGCGGGGCGACTCGAAGATGAGTTTTTTTTAAATAGAACACCCAGTATTTTTTATTCGAAATCCATTCCGCTGAGGTTTAGCTGTACATTGCTGTAAATAAAATTTAATTTCGTTGCGGCGTTGCCAAGTTATAATTGAAAAACCCATTTTCACTACTATTGAAGGGTCTTGTTGAATTGGGTATGGTATATTCATTTATTAAAATTTCGAAAATATTTTTGGCATACAGTAGTAGCAAGGTCTCACGTACACCAATCCAGTAATTTTGCGAGACAATCCTTTACAGGGTGCTTAAATTTACATTCTGAATATTGTAAGATTCAGACGACGTTCATTAGAATTTTTCAAAAACACCCTGTATTTTCCATCACAGATTTATTTCGACATCTTTCGCATTTTCATCTCTGAAAAAATCACTTTCTCAGGGCGACTCATAAGGCATGGTTCCTTTATTTGATTTGAGTGTGGGAATATTGCTTGCCACATGACATCCGAGGTTCTACTAGATCATTCAGCTATTTTTGCGATATGTTCATTGTCCAAATTTATAATATTCCATAATCTTGTTACTTATGATTGAAATAATATGTACCTTTGTGAAACAAACAAACATGCCAAAAGCAACGCCTGCCTTAAAAACAACTTCTACAATACAAACGATAAGGAATTGGATTGCGAGAATAAGGACAATTTTTTAAAATTTGGGCCACTTTTATTGTCGTTATTCCTACAATCCAAATCTCCATTTAACTTGAAGGAGGTGAACATAATGATACAAACAATATTTTACGGGGGGTTTCGGGAAGGAATTCAGCAAAATTTTAAATAAATTCAAGATATATTCGATTGTGGCGATGTTTGACAAGTCATTACACGAATATAACTGTATTTCGAAAAATTAATTCATAGTCTGCAAAAAATCTGTGAAAGTAGCGTTTTGGATTTTGTCAAAACCCACTCTGTTTAAAATTCAAACTTGGAGAGCCTGTGAATGTTCCTATTGTGAAAAAATATATGAATGGTCAATGAAGAAATTTGATTATACCGTATAGCAACGCAATATTTCCACAACACAAATAAATGAAGGAACTATGACGTACAAATTACCCCATAAAATAGTAGTAAAGATAAGGAAATTATCCATAACTTGACAACGCCGCAAACGGTTTAGATCTTTTTTTCAGCGATAAGAAGGCGAAAGATGTCGGAATGAATTTGTGTATGAAAATACAGGGTGTTCCATTGAAAAATTTTAATGAATGTTATCTGAATCTTGCAAAATTCTAAATGTAAAATTGAGCACTCTGTTGAAGAAGATGTCGCAAAATCACTGGATTGGTATACGTGAGACCTTGCTACTACCGTATGCCAAACATGTTTTCAAAATTTGAATAAATGAATGTACCATGCCCATTTCAATATGACTCTTCAATAGTGGTGAACATTGATTTATCAACCTCGGTGGAATGGATTCCGAATAAACAATATACTGGGTGTTCCATATAAAATAACTCGTCTTCGAGTTGTCCCGCTTTTCTAAAACACCCACTAATGTTGAAAATATTTTTGAAACAAGTAACTTTGGTAACTGAAAAAGTTTTTCCTTCAAAGTTTTTCTCTATGGGTCATGGCTTTCGAGATATCGAAGAATTACGCACTAAATGGAAACACTGTATAATGTATAAATATAAAATTTTTAAAAATGCTCAAAAATCACTAAACCATTGAATTTCAATAGTGGGCTAGATTTTTCATATATAAACCGTTTCAATTATAGAAATATTTTTAAAATTTTTCCATGAAGAGGACAAAAACAATATCAACACTAATTAACTAACAAGACACAAAACTTAGGTACCTGTTAGCAACAAATAAATACTAATAAACAGTTCATAATGTAGAATAAGCACCTGATCAAATATAATTTACTAAAACAATTGAATTTCGAGATTTTTTAGTAACTTGTTCATTGACACACTTTCTCAATACCTCTATATACAGTAAGAGGCACAACAATCTTGAAGAACTTCGTGCAACAACAGACGCAGTTTTCCAGAAATTACAAAGACATCTTTAAATGATTTTTTCTACAAACGCTCAACAATAGTTATTTTTGTATCTAGAGCGCGAAATTCTACTTTGGTGATCGAGATCTGATTTTTTAACGAGGCGTAGCCGAGTTAAAAAAATAGTCGAGATGACCAAAGTATTTCGCACTCGAGTTGCAAACAAAATTTTTTCTACAAACTTCAAAAATAGTGTTCTAAAGTAAAAATATGCTTAGCTTGATATAAAAAATAGTGTTGAACTGGCTTGAAAGGCCTCCCCATATCCTCCCTAGGTATGCACGATGTTCCACGAACATAATAGGCATTTCCTTTCTTGCGCTCAAAAAGATAAAACAAAGTTATTGTTGATTATTCAGAAATAAATGATTTCGTGGATGTTTGCTCGATTGAGGATCATGAAGTTGAAATATAAATATCTCATATATTTTACATAACAATGCGCGAAATAGGTACTTCGCGCACTGTTTCACTTCGCGCATTGTTATGTGCAAGGTATCATGGTAACGTAGGAAACTGAAAAAAGTGTCACTTCGCAATTTGTTATCAATGCGCGAACCTTGTCATTTTTTGACGTTTGTAGAAAAAGTATATCCTTTGACGCTTTCAAATTCCAGCACAAAGTTGACGTTTTCCAGAAATGTCATTCTTTGACAGCATTTGCGCTCGTGAGCGGAAATATTGAAAAAACGCTCGCACATCTCTGTAACCTATAGTTATCTATTCTTGAAAACCCCCAATTCTGTCATGATGGAAAATAGTGACAGTGAATCATCAAACACACCTCCTTCCTGATGATATAGCAGAAAGCGCAAGAGTTTGAATCTCTTACCGGAGAAATCAAGGAAGAAATATGAATTAGAATATGATACATTCATAAATTGGTGCCACTCCGAGATGGTGAATATGTATTCAGAAAACGTTTTACTGGCTTATTTTGGTAAAAAATCAAAGACTGAAGTCATCAACTCATTGGTCTACATATATAATCGATGGTAGGTACGTATACATGCTTGGATGTTAAAGATAATATCGGAATCAATAAGTATCTGAAACTTATCGCATTTCTCAAGAAACAATCTATTGGATATAAACGAGAAAAATCCAAAACATTCACCGCTGAAGATATATACCAACAAATTTCTACAAGAAGCTCCCTATGAAGCATATCTGTTGAAAACGATGAATTATACTTTATATTCAAACTCTTTGTTGTCATCAGGAAGACAGTGTATCTTTATTTTATTGCATCAATGGGTAATGTTCAATTTGGCTACAGAGTTCATCGTACTATGGCTCAGAGGTCTGAAGCTCAGGTTGCCATACGCTGGTGGTCCAGTTTCAATTCTCGGTAGGCCCGACATTTGTTTTCTGGCTTGTCAGTTATTTCAATTTTTCTTTTTTTGTTTCCTTTGGATATATGGGATAATGTGGATAAGAACTTTTTCAACTATTTCAATCGCTCATACTTTCAGGGCAGTTATCTCCAAAAGCTGCGTTAGTAGAAAAAATCTTGTGTGTATTTTGAGCACAAAGTGTTATTGCCGCTCTCCAAAGATTACCGCGCTCCGCTCCGCATCGCGCGGTAACTTTCTTTGTCGAGCGGCAATCTATCACTTTGCGCTCTAAATACACAAATAGCTATTGAATGCATAAGACGTATTGAGAAAGTGTGTGGGGGTAAATGGATCAATTTGAACAATTCAATGAATAAGTTACTGTCAGCTCGACAGAGTTCAACGACTGGCCAGCATATCCATAACAGGAGCAATGAGGACGGCGCCGACAAGGGCGTAGGAGACTCTGACCGGACTGCCGCCTCTGAACCTGTATATAGAACATGAGGCGATGAAGGCCGCCGTTCGCTTACAAAGCTGTA